TACATATTTAATAAATTAAATTGTTGCATTTTGTATTTAAAATAAATGAATTATAACAAAATACAAAGACATTTTAAAAAATTAATAAATATAAAATAAATTTTCTTTCATTTAAATAAAAAAACTAAATTAAATTTAAAATGCTGACTCCTCTGGCCAGAAATTCCTCCTGACTCCAACTCCACAGTCCTGGAGTAAACACAACTTTCAGTTATCCTGGTTTGAGTTAATCATGTTCTACTGTATATATATATATTATATATACAGTTGGACCTCGGAGTCTGAGTCAGGAGGAATTTCTGGCCAGAGGAGTCGGCATTTTAAATTTAAGTTAGTTTTTTTATTTAAATGAAAGAAAATTTATTTTATTTTAAATATCAGAATGGTGCTTGTTGTGTTCAATTTGTGCACACAAGATATATATCTTGTGTGCACAAATTGAACACAACAAGCACCATTCTGATATTTAAAATAAAATAAATTTTCTTTCATTTAAATAAAAAAACTAACTTAAATTTAAAATGCCGACTCCTCTGGCCAGAAATTCCTCCTGACTCAGACTCCGAGGTCCAACTGTATATATAATATATATATATACAGTAGAACATGATTAACTCAAACCAGGATAACTGAAAGTTGTGTTTACTCCAGGACTGTGGAGTTGGAGTCAGGAGGAATTTCTGGCCAGAGGAGTCAGCATTTTAAATTTAATTTAGTTTTTTTATTTAAATGAAAGAAAATTTATTTTATATTTATTAATTTTTTAAAATGTCTTTGTACTTGTTATAATTCATTTATTTTAAATACAAAATGCAACAATTTAATTTATTAAATATGTATCAATAATTTTCTTTGTAGTATTTGTGTTTAGTAGTAAAATTATTTTGAACCAATTGAATTTGAATATTATTGATTCATTCCATTCTTATCCCCACTCTAAATAAGTACTCTATTTTTCTGAATGAGCCAGACTAATTGATCAGAGTATATATTTTACTTTTCTGAACAAGAGGCTGAAGTAGCTAGATTGCACACTTTTTAATTGAACTAGCTTTTCTGGAAATGTGAAATTGAAGTGCAAAATCTGTAGAATAAAGATATGTAGATGTAGAATTTTATTGCTCTCCTTTTTTCCTCTTATTAAATATTTGTTAAAAATTAATGTTTTTATACAAATAAATATTAATGTAAGTTAAATATTAAAAATACAAACTATAAAAAGTATTCGGGTAAATGCCCAGGGCTCATTTCAGAGTTCAGAGTAAGGTAACCCCTATGAGCATATCTCTGCCCCCCATAAAATGACTTGGTATTTACTTTCGTCGGCCTACTAAAATTATCAGGAGTCAGAGTCGAGTGCTTTTTTTACCGACTCCACAACCCTGGTTTCCTCAAAGACATTTTCTTTCCCCAAACTGTTTAACTCAAATGGGAGTTTTGATACAATATTTTCATAAACTCTCTGGAATTTTAATTTGAATTTTTCATTAAATAACATAATTAACTTTCATCTTATGAATAAACCAATCAGAACTTTCTATAAAGTATAGGAACCATGTTAAAAATCAGACTGGACATCTGGAGAACAGACGTTGAATTCATCCGTCCTTAGTATCAATTTTTCCTTCGAGTTAAACTATAGCAATCTTTATTTTGTATTTTACATATTAATATGGTATGCATAGTATTTAAGTTAAAACATAAATTGATGTTTGTAAACGGTCTACCCTCCTACCTCCTAATTTGTGAAAAAGCAAAATAAGAAACAATTTTTGTTGTGTACTTAATGAAAAAATGTAAGTGTTTTTAGTGTTTTTTGGTTTGTTTCATTTAATGTAATATAACATAGTCATGTTTTAACACTTTTTGTTTATTTGAACTAGCACTGAAGAGGGGTTGGAGTATATTATACCAACCCGAAATATATTTGTAGTTCAATGAAAAATAAAAGTTAAATTTGCTAACCAGAAATTGCTGTGAGATACGTCTACCAAAGCGTGTGTTTTGGATTACAGAGATGAATTTACATTGTTAATATAACATACAGCAAACCAACTATATATTAAAAATAATCATTGTGTTATTTGATGGTGGAGGATTGCTTATAGACAGTGTGAGATCTAGATACAGTATCTTCCATTTGAACCTGCATTTTTCTGAACATTTTGTTTTATTTGATTGCTGATGGATTTCTCCGACTAGCTAACATAATAAATAAATGGATTTTTGATAAATTAATTTAAATTAAATTAAATAAAACAATTATAGTCTACTTCAATGTAAAAATTTTAACCTTTGCAAAATTTTAAAAATGTGACAATTGTAGAGAGTGGTATATTTGGGATAAAAAAATAAAAAAAAACAAATAATTCCAGGCATGAAATTTTGCAATTTAAAAAAATCCTTACTAAACATTTAACAATGAATTGATCAACCATTCAGAAAAGCATTTCTTAGTGCTTATTTAACTATTCAGTCAAGCATTTTTGAGTTTCTGGACAACACTGAGAAGTTTACATTGACACAATGATTTTATGTAATAAGACACATGGAAATATTGTATGGATAGTTGAGTACGGACACCAATAAACCAATGCACAAAAACTTGATTTTTTGCTAAACCTCTGTAACTTGAAACTTTTTAACTGACAGTCTGAATTTTTTTCCCTTTGATCAATTTGAGTTAACTATGTTCCACTGTACTACAAAATATTCAGCAATTACAGTATTCTATGGTAAATGAGACGGCATCCTCATTTTCACATAGAATATTTAGAAAAAAGCATTTAGTACATTTAACCCAGCCCACATCTCTGGCACTTAGCACTAAAATCTTTTTAACTTTATTCTGATTTAAAAAAAATCCTGCAACAACTTGCATAACTTCCCAATGAAAAACATTTGTGTTTAAGAAACACATTAGCAAAGTTTAAAATTGTGTCACCATTTGTTTTATTTTAAAATGTTTATAATAAATAGGCAAAAGGTTTAATTTTAATGGTAGAGATGAGTTTTTAAAAATATTGTAAATGCAAATAATGATTAAAATTTGCATTAAGTTCAACCACATTTGAGATATGAAGCATTACCCCCTCTATCTCTCCATTCCCTCAAACTTTGACCACTGAAATTTAATAGCATCAATGTCCTTTATATACAAGTTACCATGCCAAATTTTATTTCTTAATCTTTACCCTATCCTAAGATATTAAATGAAAAAGATATCAATGCATATGTAATTTCCCCCCTCCTTTTATTTATACTCTTTTCGGTTTGGGGTCTGAAAACATCGAGATTTGCAAAAAACCTGGAAGGTCAAATTTGAGACGATTCCAATACTTTTCTTTATTATATGCACAACAGTTGCAATAGTAAAAGAAAAATTAGAATGCATACATAGAAGAAATGAAGTCATTTACTATTAAAATATTCAATATATGCAAAAGCTGCTTAGCTATGGCAAAAAATCCAGCAACAAGTTGCTTAAATTTTCTGGCAACATTTGGTGGTGCCATCTGTTATTATATTTTATTTATTAAAAATTTTTATATTTTCAATTATTATAAAATGGCAAAAAAAAAAAATAATTTTGAGGGTAGGGATGGGTTTTATAAAAAATCGTAAAATGCTAATAACGAATAAAATTGTCATTAAGATAAACCGTATTCGGGTAAATGCCCAGGGCTCATTTCAGAGTTCAGAGTAAGGTAACCCCTATGAGCATATCTCTGCCCCCCATAAAATGACTTGGTATTTACTTTCGTCGGCCTACTAAAATTATCAGGAGTCAGAGTCGAGTGCTTTTTTTACCGACTCCACAACCCTGGTTTCCTCAAAGACATTTTCTTTCCCCAAACTGTTTAACTCAAATGGGAGTTTTGATACAATATTTTCATAAACTCTCTGGAATTTTAATTTGAATTTTTCATTAAATAACATAATTAACTTTCATCTTATGAATAAACCAATCAGAACTTTCTATAAAGTATAGGAACCATGTTAAAAATCAGACTGGACATCTGGAGAACAGACGTTGAATTCATCCGTCCTTAGTATCAATTTTTCCTTCGAGTTAAACTATAGCAATCTTTATTTTGTATTTTACATATTAATATGGTATGCATAGTATTTAAGTTAAAACATAAATTGATGTTTGTAAACGGTCTACCCTCCTACCTCCTAATTTGTGAAAANAAATAAATAAATAAATAAAATACAATTACTACCACAAATACACACAATACCACAATAATCACAAATACTGGCATATGCAATTCGGGGAATTCATTAACCTACAGGAGAGTGCAACATCACATGTAAGACATTGGGCAAATTTTTTCTTTTGGATAAAAGTTACACCTTACATGCCATAAAATACAGCAATGAAAAAATGTTATAAGCAAATTGTTAGATCTTTTGTAATTTTATAATATAATGAAATCTTATATTATCATCTCACTTCTTTCTGCAAATGGCGTAAGTATTCAGCTTTACGCCTCAGAGGATCCGTCAGCAGTCCATCGGCAAATGACACGAGTCCGTGCGGAAAATTGTGTTGAGAGAGCCACGACATGACCCTCTGCTGCTGCATGTCTGGTCGTCCGGTAATATATATGATCAAGTAGCCTAATTCTTGCCAATGTCTGTAAGTATAAATTTGTTTTAAAATGAAAAAGTGAAATGTATTTTAAAAATCTTTTACATTTAAGAAATTTTCTACAAAAGTATTGCAACTCTTAAATGAATTTAAATAAACTGTATATATTTAACTAGCAAATGAGCCTGGTGTTGCTCAGACAAACGATTTGGATGATTTGATAAATATTGTATATTTGGAAATTAAGTTATTACTATCAAAAACAAAAAAATTGTATCTAAAATAGTACAGTAGAAGCTGTTATTCAAGTTAAGCCTTAATCCTCTCCCCTGCGGGACAATCTCCAAAAATCTGTTCTTAGTGTGCAGTTTCACAACGTACCCTAACTGTGTACCAAATTTCATCTCTTTAGGTTCAGTGGTTTGCTTTGGGCAATGATGAATCAGTCAGGACATGTAATTTTATATATATAGATTATAAATTTATATCTATTTATGTCAAGAAAATTAATTATAAAAATCATTGCCTGATAAAAATTACACTACATTCAAAATATTAATAATACTGCCATTAAATATATTATTATATCGTATGTTGCAAACGACATCTAAAAAATTTATCTTAACTAACAGAAGACTAGCATTTTCTACTCCAGAAAAGAACATTGATTGTTGTAGAAATACTATTTTGGATCTACTGGCACAGCAATATAAACAAAAATATTTTTAAAGTAGATATGCATAATTAAGATTGCAAATAGATAACAAAACTTTCTGTTATAGATTTTTCAGATTATTAATTAACTGAATTACTCAAATATGTATTTTAATAATAGTTTATTGTTGGTTTTACTGTCAGGCAAAAGTTTGCTTTTTAATTTTGCTTTTATTTCTGATTGAACATTTATGGATTACAATACTTGAAGATCAAACTGTCTGAGAACTTAGCTAAAACACTGTACAATCCAACAAGTCCCAAGTACTTTTGAGGATCTTTGCTCAGCTGTTTTTGTTCTTAGAGTTCTAAATTAGTTTTTCTATATCTTAAAATTTGGGGCATGATTCATGAACATGTCATTGCTGAGATAATTATAGTAGGCCTAAAGTTACATTAAAGGTATAATGACGTTTGAACATAGTCACAAAACATGTAATTAACTGAAGTATTACTCATTGTTTCAAGATTATGGATGAAACTTAGTTCATGGTCAGTGGCAAGAACAAATATTCATGCCAAATCTATCAGTTATTTCCATCTATCTGATGATGATGATGATGATGATGATGATATAGTTTTTACACTTATTAGATTTATTTATTATCAAAAAAAATAATTTTTATTCTGTATACAAAGACATAGTAAGAGAGCGCACAACATGTACAGTCATGTTTTATCTTAAAATTTTATGTAGTGGTGGTTAATCCATTTTCAAAGATGTTACTTAATTGATAATTTATACATCTAATGAGTAATTATTTATTGTGACATTATCACAATGCCAGGCTACAATTTTCCATTACAGTGTTCTGAATTTTTTATAGTATCTTGTCCCTGTACATATACTTTTCCTTGTCATACTTTTTCTGTTAGCAATATAATTGTGCCAGTCATCTATCTACCGTATTAGCCCGAATATAACGAGATATCTTTTTACCATTTATTTTCCGTTAAAAAATCGACTCGCGCTAAATTCGAGGTTTAAGTAATGGAATGTAATATAAACAAGGACATTTTCCTACAGAGGTTGAAACGCGACTGAACGTCTGAGCAATTTAAGGCCACCTTACGACAAGTGTTAAGAAAAAAATTGAGGCATTGAATTCCGATCTTGTAATAATACCGGGTGGTATGACTTCGCAGTTGCAAGTCTTGGATGTGGTGGTTAATAAACCATTTAAAGTTAACCTTCGAAAAGAATACAACAATTGGCTATTATCGGGCAATCATCCATTGACACCTTCAGGAAAAATAAAAAAACCTTCAGTCTCTCTTTTGGGAGAATGGATTGAGACTGCCTGGCAGAAGATCGAACCTGGATCGATAGTTAAAGGTTTCAAGAAATGTTGCATTTCCAATGATTTAAATGGGATGGAAGATGACATTTTGTGGGAGACTGAAAGCGTGAATGAAAAAACTGATGATACCGATTTGACATCAATGAGTTTTCATTCTGAAAACAGTTCAGCTTCTGAATAAACATTTTCGTTTTTTGTTATTACTTACGTAATATTAATTTTGTTTTACATTACTTAATTTTATTGACATGAATGTAACCTGTGTTATTAGCTATAATTACCTAAATAAATGCTTATCTCATTGAATTTTACTTTCTTTGAATTCTTTTATGAGTATTATTTTTTTTTCTAAATATCTTTATGAAAATTTCGGAGGCACGCTAAATTTGGAATCGCATTATATTCGAGCTAATACGGTAACTCCTTTTCAGGGAAAAATTTTTGAACTAAAATAATGTGAGTTCCAGTCCAAACTGGAAGTTCATATATGGTTAATCAAGGCCTCTTGCCACTAAGCTTTTCATATGTGGTCTCAACTTTCATCTATCTAACCCTGTTCTTGAGATTAACCAAGGACAGACACACAGATGGACAGATGAAAGTGGGAATTTATAGGTCTACAATTTTTTCAAATTGCAACCCAAAAAAAGGAATTGAAGAGTTATTTATTGACACAATCACATTGCTGGGCTGCAATTTTTTCATCATCATTTAATTTTTAAAAAATCACATAACTTCCAGTCAAGACTGGAAGTTCATATATAGTTACTGTAATTAGAGTCTCCAACCCCTAAACTTTCCATATTTGGTCTAGATTTTCATCTAACTGCATTCTCAAGATTAATGAAGGCCAGACACAGTGGAAATGTACAGGTCTGTAATTTGAAAATTGCAGCCCAATTAGGGTCATCAAATAAAAGTAAAACTAAATTTTTATATACAAACATTATTTGTATTTATTTTTAAAAGGCATGCTTTAGTAATTAATAAAATATTTTTGCAAAAACTTAATTCTTATATTAAGAAAGCATGGCTAATTTTATTTTACCGTACAACATCGACAGCTCCCGCTCTGACTTTAGGATCTTTGCCAGTAACAGACATGCTGGCGGTAAAAGAACCATCAATACTGAAGACGATACATTCAGTCTTTGGTGGCACCACAGTGAGAAAGAAATCGACTGACGTGTGATCTCCTCTGAAACAAAAAATTTTTTAAATAATAAAAAATTATTAACTTTACAAATTGTATCAATCAGAACAAATAATTCTTGGTATAGCTGAGTCAAATTAAGAATTTTGTTGCCTATTGAGAAAAATATTATACAAGCATATCTTACTTTACAGTTCTTCAATTATATTCACATTTATTATTTTTAGCACTTGCTCTCTTAAGAGAGTTTTTGGGGCTTTTACTTTAGCATCTGTTTTAGGCCTAGAGTTATTGCACAGTTAATAGGTATAAGATAAATGTATTTGTAAGCTATACTCCAGCATACTTCATATGCACTGGCAAATGAAAAAAAAAAAAAAAAAAAAGAATTGGTGTTGTATAGTTTCTGGCATGATGTGACATTTTCTGCATGTGTCATTTGTGAGTGTTGTATCTTTGAGTATGTTGTTGTTATTATTATTATTTATTATACAGGTTAATCTAGAATTTACCAAGATCAAACTTTTTAAACAAGCATTTTTCACAAAAATACTCAAGATAAAATAGGATTTTTCTGAAGTACACACATTTTATACAAATTTTAGTTGGAATTTCTGGCAGTAGGATACACTGTTCAGAAAATGAAATTTGTATGGGGCATTATCAAAAAAGTGACTTACAAAATCCTCTTTTGCAGACTATTTTCAATACAAATGAGTACTAACCAGTGGCAAAAATTTTAAATAAAATTTGCATACAATATTTGTAATTAAAAAACATTCCATAATATTGAGTTTTTCTGTAAGAAGTACATGTATTTAGGATTAAAATTTACTGAGATATGAACTTTTAAAGTTGTTACTGACTTTTGAATCATCCTATATAAGTAAGAACAATTCAAATGGTTTCATTTATCTTGGATTCTATTAATATTTGTTTTTAATAAAATATTAAAAATTTATTTTATAAATTACATTTTAAAAAAAATCATATTAATTAAAATTAATCTTGTTTATTCTTACCGAACAACCATTTTTACTGGAAACATTCCATAACCGACTGCTTTCTCTCGTGGTATGACATAAGTAATACGACCGTTTTTATCAGTAATTTCTGTACTTAACAACATCCATTCCCCATTGTGTTGATCTTTCATTATGTGAATATCAACCTACAAAGAATCAACATGTCAGAATACATGAAAAAATATTCATAATTGAAATTCATTCACAAGGACTGTGCTAAAGAACCAAATTAATTACTATCAAAATTAACATTTAAATAACTTTTAAAAGTAATAAAATTTATCTGAAAAGTTTAGTTTTTCTCTCACTTTAAAACAGATATGCTATAAAACTTAGTTTAATGTTGATAAGTTTAAATAAAACCAAAACATTTTATTATGTAATAATTTCATTTATATATTAGAGATTAGAGAAAAAGGATCTATATATGTAAGCCTGGCTGACATGATCAAGTATTGGTCAAATCTAGTGGAATGAATGCACATGCAACCACTCACATCAAATTATATTGCATAAATGGAGAAGAGAATGAATACTGTCAATTGAATAAATCTGTATGAATAACTTTGTTATTTTTACAATTTTTATCTGTACAAACAACACTACATTATTGTAAAAGTGATAAACAATAATTGGAATATGAATACAGATAAAATTTGTTGAACTGCATAAGAAAATGGATGCTTTCTGCAATATTTTATGTTCTGATTACAATAATAATGAAAAGAATAGTAACAAATATTCTCATTAAAGTAAAAAAATAAAATTAATATTAGGAATAATTATATTAGAAAAATATTAAAAATGAATGAATCATTATAAAAATATACATTCAGCAAACATGATTTTAACTACATTTACAAATATGAATGCATGCTATTAACAGTGATTGATGGATCTATACATTTCTAGTCAACCGAACACTCAAACTTAAATGAAAAAACACAATAATACATCCAATTCAATAAAAACTAAATCTGTCTACAGATTTTTGATGCCAATTTCACACTTTTGAATCAGATTTTTTTGGTTGTTCATATGCTAATTTTTTTTCATTCTGAGAAATATTTATGCTAGTAAATGACAGTTAACAACAAAAATAATTGAAATATATCACTTCACAAGCAGCTTATATTTCTTGGACTAAAATTTTAATTAATTGCAATAAAAAATGAAAATTTCTATAATGGTTTTATTTTGAAAAAGATTATATATATACATTAAGGATGCACCGATAAATCGGTAAGTAATCGGTAATCGGCCATATCGGCCACTTAGCCGATTAATCGGTATCGGCCATTTCCACCGATTAATCGGTTTCGATAATCTGCCAATTTTACATTTTGGTATTTTTGTTAGAATGTTACGTACAATGCTAGTAATAAAAACTAATAAATTTCTGTTATATATTTATTATTTATTACATGACAATCTGAATATTAAAAAAATTTTACTAATCAAATTATTCCTTTCATCAATACATATTATAACATAACGTATAATATAAAGTTTAAACTTTACATAAGAAAAAGTATTGAATAGGTTAAGAAGAAAAATTAAATTTTTATTTGTTTCATAAGTTTAAAGTTTAAATACAAAACAAATATAAAACAAATAAAAATTTAATATTTAAACTGTAAAACCCTTAAATTACAATTTAAGGGTTTTACAGTTTGTTTTTACAATGCAAAAACATGAGAATTTTATCATTTTCAGGGCATAACCTATTTTTTGCCGGCTCATAAATGTTACCTTCAGTGCTGAAAATTTTTTCACTTTCAATGGAAGATGCTGAGGCACTTAAATATTTCATAGCTATTTTGCTCAAATTAGGGATAAATGTAAATATGTTTCTAATTCTTGATCGAAACGTTTGTTCGTCTCTTTCGTTTTTTTTCTTT